GAAAGAGGAAGTTGGATAGCATGCACCAGCTGGGGACGGCATCTCAAGACATTATGTTGAGAAAATTAAAAAGCCAATCTGAAAAGGTCTATAATGTTCTCAAAAAACATCTTTTAAATGTAGAAATGAAGAACTGATTATTAGTGGTTGCCAGGAGTTAGGGAATGGTGGTGGGGAGTGGGAGGATGTAACTATAAGGGAATAGCATGAGGGAGATCTTTGTAGTGATGAAATAATTCTGTGTTTTTGTGGGGTTTTGTGTTTTGTTTTGTTTTTGAGACAGAGCCTCCTTCTGTCACCCAGACTAAAGTGCACGTGATACAATCTCAGCTTACTGCAACCTCCACCACCAGGTTTAAGCTATTCTCATGTCTCAGCTCCCCAAGTAGCTGGGATTACAGGCACACACCACCACGCCTGGCTATTTTTTTTTTTTTTTTTTGTTTTGTATTTTTAGTAGAGCCAGGGTTTCACCATGTGTGGCCAGGCTGGTCTCGAATTCCTGGCATCAAGTGATCTGCTCTCCTGGCCTCCCAATGTACTGGGATTACAGGCAGAGCCACTGCACCTGACCATAGTTCTTTATCTTGACTGCAATCATAGTTACACACAAATTGACACATAAAATAACAGAAGTATTTAAACACATTGTATCAATGTCAGTTTCCTGGTTTTGATATTGTTCTGTAGTTAATTGAGATGTAACCATTGGGAGAAACTGAGTGAAGGGTAAACAGAGACCGCTCTATTAATCTTTGCAAATTCCTATGTCTGTAATTATCTCAGAATTAAAAATTATTTAAAATGGTTTAGAAAATTACAAATAACCAAATGTTTCTTTGAGAGTATCTCTCTTAGACAAACAGAAACATCTTTAGCAATGAAACATTAAAGACCAAAGATCATATGGCTAGTTATAGAACATAGACCAGGTCCTTTTCATTACTGAGTTGTATTCCATGTTATAGATATATCACAGTTGTTTAACAATTTACCTATCATAGGACATTTGCTTATTTCCAGTTTTTGCCTATTATAAGTAAAGCTGCTGTGAATAATTATGTACAAGTTTTAAAAAAATGTTTTATTTTTTCTGGGATAAATGCCTAGGAGTGTGAATGCTGGGTTATATGGTAAGTGTTTAGTTTTTGGCCGGGCGCAGTGGCTTGCACCTGTAATCCCAGAACTTTGGGAGGCTGAGGTGGGTGAATCATTTGAGGTCAGGAATTCAAGACCAGCCTGGCCAACATAGTAAAACCCTGACTCTGCTAAAAATACAAAAATTAGCTGGGCTTGGTGGCAAATGCCTGTAATCCCAGCTACTCGGGAGGCTGAGGCAGGAGAATTGCTTGAACCCAGGAGACAGAGGTTGCAGTGAGCTGAGATTGTGCCACTGCACTCCAGCCTGGGTGACAGAATGAGACTGGCTCAAAAGAGTTTACTTTTTAAAGAAACTGCCAAACTATTTTTCAGAGTGGCTGTATCATTTTACATCCCACTAGCAATGTATGAGACATAGAGTTTCTTTGCATACTCTTTTGTCATTATTTTTTATTTTACTTTCTAACATATAATTTTGAAAATCAGTGATAGGCATTGAGTTTTATTGATTACATATTTTGGCACTTATTGAGATAATTTCAGGGTATCTCTTGTTGGACCTATTAATGAACTGTATTATTCTATGTATCTATATGTATATGCTTTAAATGATAAAAAGATCAAACAGTATGAAAGGGGAAACAAGGTAAAGTAAATCTCCTACCATTCCTATTAGAGTTTCCTTCCTCAGAGGCAATCACTTTACCTCATTCTTGACAGTGTAGGGACTATATCTGTATATTAACAGTAGCATATCACATGCACAGTACTGCAGCCTGCCTTTTCACTTTATTTTTTACTTGTTTATTTATTTATTTAGAGATGGTGTCTTGCTCTGTCACCCAGAATACAGTGTAGTGGCCCAATCATGGCTCACTGAAGCCTCAACTTCCAGGGCTCAAGTGATCCTCCCACCTCAGCCTCCCAAATAGCTGGAACTATAAGTATGTGCCACTATGCCTGGCTAATGTATCTTTTGTAGAGATGGGGTTTTGCCATGTTGCCCAGGCTGGTCTTGAATTCCTGGACTCAAGCCATCCTCATGTCTCAGCCTCCCAAATTACTGGGATTACAGGCATGAGCCACTGCAACTGGCCCATTTAATATCTTACAGACCATTCTATATCAGTACGTAGGGATCTAGCTCATGCTTTTTAACAGCTGCATAGCATTCTTTTTTGCTGCTGCTGTTGTTGTTGTTGAGGAATGTGCCAGTTTAATCAACCATTCTTTTTTTGATAAACATTAAGGTTATCTCCAGTTCTTTGTAATTACTGACAATGCTGTAATGAATAGTATACTGGAATTTGTGCCCCATGTGAGCACTAATGTAGGATAGATTTCTGACATGAAATTGCTAGGTCAAAGACATTCAGGTTGGAATAGCTGTGCCAAATTGCCTTCAAAGAGGCTCAAACATTTTAAAGTCCCATCAACAATGAACAAGAATGTCTTTCTGTACAGTATCTTTTCTTTCTTTCTTTTTTGAGACAGAGTCTCACTCTGTGGCCCAGGCTGGAGTGCAGTGATCTCAGCTCACTGAAACCTCCACCTCTTGGGTTCACGTGATTCTCCTGCCTCAGCCTCCCGAGTAGCTGGGATTACAGGCATGCGCCACCATGCCCAATTAATTTTTGTGTTTTTAGTAGAGACAAGGTTGCACTATGTTGGCCAGGTTGGTCTCGAACTCCTGATCGCAAGCGATCCACCCACCTTGGCCTCCCAAAGTGCTGGGATTACAGGTGTGAGCCACCATGCCCAGCCAATATCTTTTCTAATCTGTGTATCTTTTCCAATTTGACATCTTAAAAAACAGTATTTCACCTTAATCTTAAGTTTCAGTTCTCCTATTATGAGGTGGCTCAGTATCTTTCCATTTGCTCAAAAGCTATCTGTATTACTTTTCTATTAACTGTGTGCTCATATCCTTTGCCCATTTATTATTTAAAATCAATGTTTAGCTAGGAAAACACACCACTTTCCTGTTTTCATTTGCTCAACAACCTCCTCAGAGGCAGGAGGCTCCCTCAGACAGGTGTCCCTCGTCCTTCTCAAACAGCTCCCTCTTCTAACTCATAAATGCCTCCTTCCCCAACACCACTGTCTGTTCCCAAGGAAGGGCCCCTTTATGGTCTCCTCAACATCTCACACTCCTCCCAAAATTATGTGCATGCTCTCCCATCCCTCCCCTCTGGAGTACTCTTTTCCCAGTCAAACCTAACCAGTCCTTCAGGGTCCAGCCTAATTCCACCTGTCTGGGCACCTTTCTGAATAACTAGTGCTCACATTGCATACAGTCTCACTTTCAGGTGCGCCTCCTCCCATCAATCACAGCCTATGTCCCTGGAAGGCTGGGCCTGACAATAGCCAGAGCCCAGATGCTGCTCTATCTTTGCTCAGTGTGTGTGTGTGTGCGTGCGTGTGTGTGTGTATGGCCGGGAGTCTGAGTGTGGAGTATGTTTCATTCACTTATCCTGCAGTTTTTTTTTTTTTTTAAGACAGAGTCTCGCTGTTGCCCAGGCTGCAGTGCAGCGGCGCGATCTCGGCTCACTGCAACCACTGCCTCCCTGGTTCAAGCGATTTTCCAGCCTCAGTCTCCTGAATAGCTGGGATTACAGGCGCCCGCCACCACGCCCGGCTAGCTTTTGTATTTTTTTGGTAGAGATGGGGTTTCACCATGTTGGCCAAGCTGGACTAGAACCCCTGACCTCAAGTGATTCACCCGCCTCGACCTCCCAGAGTGATGGGATTACCGCGCCCCACCCCATCCTGCAGTTATTGAATGCATAATGCATACATGAGTCAGGCGCTGTTCCAGGCGTTGGAGACAAGGCAGTGTATGAGGTAGATCAAAGCCCCTTCTCTCATCCAGCTGACATGTTGGAACTAATATATAACAAACAAGACAAACACAAATAAGAATATCAATTAAATGCAAACCAATAATGAAATAGCGAGGGAAGAAGGGAAAGGATTTTCTTTGCAGAGGGCTCGGGGAGGGCTCCCCGAGAAGATAAGACAGCAGTAAAGACCCGAATATGAGATGGTACTGCCACTGCAAAGAGCTTTGCAAGGCCCCACCAGAGGCCTCGCCTGGACGCCGCTCTTCTAGAGATGGACGTGCTGCCGAGCCCTCAACACCCATTCTCTCTGTTACTTAACAGGACCTGAAGGCAAGAGCCTGCAATCCCTGCAACCTCAGGAGTGTGTGGGGGTAACCCTGCTCCCTCCAGTTTCACATCCCAGCTGAAAACTTGGGAAAATGAAATCGTGCTTGGCCTGCCATTGATAGATCACCTACTATGTGCCAGGGTCCTGTTAAGCACTTTATGCGATTGTTACTTCATTTAATCTACACAACAATCCCGTGGAAACTCGATTAACCTTACAGGGGAAGAGACGGAGGCTGGGAATATGGCAGGAACCTGAGTGTTAACTTGGTTCACACACGAGCGGAGTTCCCGGGTCGGGAAGTTCTGTGGTGCGAGTCGGCCGGGGTTTACCGAGCGTTCGGGCGCGCGCCGTTTTCGGAGTTGGTCGGGTCCAACCGTGCGCCCCGAAGCTGCCAGGCGCGCCCGCCAGCGGCCCCCCGGGCAGCCTGGGTCTACCGGCTTCGGGGGCAAAGGGGAGCGCCGGGACCAGCAGGCTGGGGGCGGGGAAGGCGTGAGGACAAAGGCCGCGGGCACCGCGCCGGGCCGGCCCGTGAGGCGGCGAACTCCGGTAGCCAGGACCCGGCCGGGCGGTCGCTCCCCGAGGAGCCCGCGCCTGCATGGAGCGCCCCGCGGCACAGCCGGGCCACGCGCAGGCCGAGCCCCCACCACCGCCTCCACCCCCGCCCGCGCCCCCGCCCCCTCCCCCCCACCCCGCGGCGGCTCCGCGCTCGGCGAACATGGCGGCGGCGACGGTCGGGCGGGACACTTTACCTGAGCACTGGTCCTACGGGGTGTGCCGGGACGGCCGTGTCTTCTTCATCAAGTGCGGCGCGAGGACGCGGGGACGCGGGGACGCGGGTGGGGGCGCGGGGCGGGGGCAGGGCGGGCGCCCCACGGGCTGTGGCGGCGCTAACAGGTGCACCTCTCTGCCCGCAGTGACCAGCTCCGCCGCACGACCTGGCTGCACCCGCGCACCGGGGAGCCCGTCAACTCGGGCCACATGATCCGCTCAGGTGGGCGCCGGGCCGGCGGGTGGGGGGCGCGCGCCGCGGCTGCCCAAGTTTGACCGGACTTTTCTGGCGTTTCCGCAGACCTGCCCCGCGGCTGGGAGGAGGGCTTCACGGAGGAGGGCGCCAGCTACTTCATCGAGTGAGTGAGTGGGGCCGCCGCGCTCGCACCTGTGCCGCGAGGGTCCCTCCAGGTTCCCGCCGGGCGCCCCGCCCTCCCTCTGCTCCCGCCGGCCCGGGCTCGTTGGCGCGCGCTGCGCCGCGGCCGCACTCAGGGTTTTGTGTGCCGGAGTTGTTTGGCGGCCTCAGAGAGAGAGGCGGTGGGGGCCGCATCTACGGTGGGGACCTGGGCGGAGGAGGGAAGGGGCCGCAGACTCTGCGCCCTGGACCTTGCAATCCGGCTTGGATTCGGGTGCTGGTGTGAGGGCTGGGCACGCCTGCCCTCTGGGGTCTTGGGCTGCGCCCCGCCGGGAGAGGCGGGTGCCGGGACCGAGATGGGCTCGGGTTGGGGGAGTAGAACGAGGAGTTCTGTCCTGGTGTGGGCTTCCTGCGGGGTTGGAGTGGGGAGAGCGAGAGACTAGGGGAATCTCGCTTAGGAGGACCCCCTTCTCCGGCCACAGTCTCTGGGATGGTCGCGGAGAGTCGGAACCTCGCCCCCGGCCTCCATCCACTGCGCTGGCCTGCGGGGAGGGAGGGGGTGGGGAGGGGAACTGGTCAACCAATGACGTTCCTCGAGCGCTCCGCGTCTCTTCGGCCGGAGCTGAACCGGGCTATCGCTGGTGCCTGGGTTAGTCCAGGGGCAACTTTTCCGCAAAAACCCCGGAGCGTTGGCGCACCAGCCAGGTTACCCTGGGTCTGTAGGATCAGTCCATGTCTGATTGGGGCGCAGTAAGTGAAGGCGCGGGTCAGGCTCCTATGCCAGTACAGGCTTTGCTTTCCCACTCCGGCGGCAGCCTGTGTTGCAGCGTGTTTCCCTCTGCCTGCTGAGCTCCGGGAGACCAGAAACTGCCTTTGACCTCTTGCCCCAGTGCCCGACAGAGAGTAGGCACTCGGTAAATGTTTGTTCACTGAATGAATCAACTCGCTAAAGGTCTGGATGGTGGTCTGACTAGTACTGGGTGTACTTCGGCGACTATGAGTCAGAACTACTACTGTTAGGAGTAAAGCGGCTTATTTCAAGAAAACCCCGGAACCTCCTTTTCTGGTTTGGGTTCTTGCACAATAGTTGAAAATACTAATGGGTGAGATTTACAGACCTGAGGATAGGGCCTTGCTGCGGTTCTGTTGCCCTGCCTCGTATGTGTGTGTGTGAAGTTGGGGAGTTGGCTGGGGCCATCAGAATCTTGCTATCAGTGGGCCTCTCTGGCTCATAACTGCATCAGTTGATATTATTACAATTATCCTGTGTGCCACACGTTCACACGTTGTTCTAGGCATTGGGAACAAAAAACAGACAAAGTGCTCATGGAGCTTGCAATCTAATAGGAGAGGGAAAGGAGTAGAAAATAAGTAAAAAACACGAATAATAATATCAGATCGTGGTTACTACTGTGCAGAAAGTTAAGGTGATGTGATATGGAGTGACTGGGTGGCTTGGTTGTACTGGGAGATCGGGATGGTGTTTCTGAATAGGCAACGTTTAAAGTAAAATTTGAATGACAAGAAGGAGACATCATGTGATGATGAGTTGGCAAAGCATTTCGGGAAGAGCGAACAGCCAGGGCAAGGGCTTAAGGCAGAAAAGAGCTTGGAGTTTAAGGAGCAGGAAGGCCAAGTAGCTGGAATGTGGTGCACAAGGGAGAAAGTGGCATGAGGAGAGGTCACAGGTAGGAGAGAGGTAAGTGCTGCAAAGCTTTGTGAGCCAGGGTGAGGAATTTTCTTACTTTATTCTAAGTCCAGTGAAACGTCATTGGAGGGTTTTGAGCAGGGAAGTGGCATGATTCGGTTTGTGTTTTTAGAACGATCACTGTGAGGAGATTGGATTGTAGGTGGCCACTGCAGGGGGAGGCAGGAGAGCAGCTGAGGCTGTTGCCCTCGTCCATGCAGGAGTTAGCAGTGGCTTGCCTGAGGGTGGTAGCACAGTAGTGGTCACATTCAGGCTATGTTTAGGAAGTAGGCTCTTCACGCCTTCATGATGGACTGAATAAAGTCTGTGAGAGAAAGAGAAGAGGCAAAGATGACTCCTCAGGGCTCGAGCACCTGAGTGGATAGCATTCATATTGTTGAGATGTGAAGAGCCGGTTTGGGGTGGAGGAGAATCATGAGATCTTGTTTTGCCATCTTACATTTGAGATATGAGTATGTCAGAGAGTGATCTGAAGCTTGGTGGGGAGAGAGGATGGAAGAGACCCACTGGGCATAATATATGTTATTCGAGACCATGGGATTAGATGAAATCCCCTCGGAAGAGAGTGCAGACAGAAGACCGATGTTCTGAGCCTTTGGGTGGTCAAAGCAGTGTTTAGAGGGGAGAGAGGTGAAGCCAGCAAGGAGACTGAAAAGGACTGAGAAGGTGGGAGAAACCCCAGGAGAATGCATGGTCACAGAAGTCTTAAAGGACAAAAGCTGACTGGAGTAGGTGGAAGATAAAATACGGGGTGAAGACAGGGAGTCAGTTAGGCAAATCTTCCAGGTAGTTTTGTTGCAAAGTGGTGTTGAGACATTAGCTGGTAACTGGAGAGGATGTGGGTTTGAGGGAGGGTTTTCCTTTCTTTTTTTTAGTGGAAGATTGTACAGCATGTTTTGTTTTGATGGGAATGATCCCATGGAGAGGGAGAAGTCGATGCTGCAGGAAAGAGAGTGGGCAGTTGCTGGAGCAGTGTTTCTAAGAAGGTGAGAGGGATGGGATCCATGGCTTGCATCTCACTGGCCTCACCCAGGGGCAGGGCCCATCATTCATTTGACAGGAGGAAGGGCTGCAAGTGTTCCAAATTACCAGGTGCAACCTTGGACTGGGTGTGTGAGGCCATGTGTGGGACTGTGGAGGCTGGAGCACAGCCTTCCACACCTTTGCTGACTCTTCCATGGTAACTTGTCTGTGAGGTCCCTAATGATTTTCCTACAGTGAGCTCCCATGCCCCCAGGGCCTTGGATCTTCCAGGCCTAAGGAAAGCAATGTGTGACAGTGTTCCCTACCCTCAAAGGCAGGGCCCTGTGGCAGATGATTGTGCTTTGGACCTCCTTCTGTGACAATTTTTTGAGAGACTTAAGGGTTTTGGGAGTAATTGTTCTCTCCTTCATCCCCCGCCCCCCACATAAAAAAATGTTTTACTGACAAATGTTTGTCTGATTTCTTAGCTTTGCCGTGAGCATTTCTGAATGTTTGATTTTTGTGTTGAGGGCAGGAGCCTCCTCTAACTGGCTCATAGAGTGAGAGGGACAAAGCATTGACACAGCTGATTTTATTTTTCCTAATGGATCCTTGCACAGGAAAGTTGTGTGAGTTTTTACAGGATGTATTCAGTTGTTCCTCATATTTAGCAGATTAAAAAATTTTAATTTTTGAAAAAATTGTAAGAAACAGAATCTTCCTCTGTCTCCTAGTCTGGAATACAGTGGTGCAGTCATAGCTCACTGCAGCCTTGAACTCCTGGTGCCAAGTGATCCTCTCACTTCAGCCTCCCAAGTAGCTGGAACTACAGATGCAGGCCACCATGACTGGCCAGCAAATGTTTTAATACTCTCCAGAGTCCATTTCTTTTCTTTCTTTCTGTCTTTTTTTTTTTTTTAAAGACAGCATTGCTCTGTCACCCAGGCTGTAGTGCAGTGGCATGATCTCAGCTCACTGCAACCTCTGCCTCTTGGGTTCAAGTGAGTCTCATGCCTCGGCCACCCCCAAAGTAGCTGGGACTACAGGTGTGCACCACCATGACTGGCTAATTTTTGCATTTTTAGTAGAGACGGGGTTTCACCATGTTGGCCAGGCTAGTCTCAAACTCCTGACCTCAAGTGATCCGCCTGCCTCAGCCTCCCAAAGTGCTGGGATTATAGGCATGAGTCACTGCACCTAGCCTCAGAATCCCTTTCTTGAAGCAGAAAAGCTTGAGCTTAGGCAGGTGAATTTTAGTTTTGATTTCTGTACTTTTTGTTCAGTTTTGCATTAATGAGGGACAAAATATATAAGAAATCTACTGCTGATTCTCCCAGTTCTAGACTAAAGGATGTTGATAACCCCTTTAAAAAGATTTTTTTGGCTGGGTATAGTGGCTCATGCCTGCAGTTCCAGCACTTTGGGAGGCAGAGGCGAGGGGATCACTTGCGGCCAGGAGTTTACGATCAGCCTGGGCAACACAGAGAGACCTCATCTGTACAAAAAATGAAAAAATTAACGGTGGTATGCTGCTGTAATCCTAGCAATTTGAGAGGCTTAAGTGTGAGGATTGCTTGAGCCCAGGAGTCTGAGGTTACCATGAGCTATGATTGTGATACTGTACTCCAGCCTGGACGACAGAGTGAGACCCTGTCTCTAAATAAATAAGTAAATAAATGACTTTTTGTACTCTAGCACTTCTCTACTATGAATCCCTCAGCTGGGTAGCAAGGTATAATAGTAATTTTGATAATAGTGTCATTAACAGAAGTAGCAATAATAGTAGTAATAATTATGTAACAGCCTAATCTTTTTGAGTCTTTGAAAAATGGTAGGAACTGTTCTGTAACTATCATTGATTTAATTCTCACAATAGTTTGATGAGGTAGCAACTATTACTAGTTCCGTTTTACAGACATAGAATCTTGCAGTAATCCTGGACATTCCTAGAGCAGATGGTTTTTTCCTTGTGTCTTTTCTTATTTGATCTTTGTAACAGCCCCTGGAGGCAGGAGGGGAGGAATCATCCCCATTCTTCAGATGATGAAACTCAGGTCCATGAAGGTTCAGTGATTTTGCTGAAGTGTTTGAGCTGAGACTAGAATATAAGTCTTCAGTCCCTTGTGTGATAGCCACAGTAGTAGTGGTGGCTCCCACCCCAGGCCATGCATCTTGAAGGAGATGGATGCCCATATGCCATTGCTCTGAGTTAGGCTTCCCCAAGGCTCATGGGGCCAGACCCCATCTTTGCTTTTTCTGGGGACTGAGGTACTTTGGAAGGGCAGTATCCCTTGGTCTCCTATGCTGATTAGTGGTGGTACATGTCCCTGATTAGTAAGAAATTGAAGACATTGATTATTAGTAAATACAATTTGGCAGACACAGCTTTTTAAAACATGGGACCTATGAGGGAGAAGTTTCTAGAAGAGACCATGGGAGTTAGAGTATTACACTGGGCTGCTCTTCAGTGGTTTCATGGAACCTTGTGAATTGTGTTCCCCCTACAGCAGATGTTCAGTAGGTTGTGAGGCAATGAGGAGATGTCAGAGAAGAGGGGCTCAGCCACCTTGCCTGTGCCAAGGCTGTTCCTTGAAGGCAGGCATCTTATTCCCCACTTCCGAGACTTAGGCACCCAGCGCAGGGCTGGGAGCTGAGTAGGCACTTGATATATCTTGAGCAAGCAGTGTTTTAAAGAGACCCAATGAGTTTTCTAGGTATTACAGGTCTTGGAAAACTCCTTACTGGGAAGGAGATTGGGGTGGAGGAGAATGAGTAAGGTGAAAGAAGCTCAACAGCCACAAACAGGCCTGTCAAGGCTGGTGCCTAGACCCAGGCTTCTTGGATACAGTCAGTTGCTGTTGAGAACAATGCTCAAAGCTGGCCAGTGGAGGCTCAGTGGCCTCCTCTGCGTCTTCATCTCATATCCTTATTGCTCTGCATCTGGGACTGGGACCTATTGGCTACTGGACTAGGCTATCTTCCTTCTCTGGCTGCTGGGCCCTTGGCATCCTCTGTGACTTGGCACAAGGGTACTGGCAGGAACCAGCTAATTGCTGCACAAGATCCTTTCTAGCTTCAAGTTTCTCAGTTTTAGCTTTGGGGTTGTGTGGAGCCACCCTGTGTAGGTACTGTCTCTTTGTGGGTACCTGTCCCTAAGTGAGGACAGCTAGACTCTGGGAAAGTCACTTTTGAGGCTTGCAGTAAGGCTAACTTTCCCCTCCCCTAGGACCTGAAGCACGTCCTAGCGACAGGACTGGCTACATAATTTGCAGAGCCTAAGTGTAAAATGAAAATGCAAGGCTCCTTATTCAAAAAGAAGGAAAAAGTATTAGCTTAGTGCAAATGTAATTGTGGTTAGTG